GCATTCTGGGTAGGGCATGAGCGACCGGAAATTGGAGCGGGAGATAAGGCTCCGCTCCACCTTTTTAAAAAAATTCCCGCTCTTCGCTCAACACAAAATCCTTCCGCTCACATGCTCTGTTGTGGTTACATGGTATGCATCTTGGAACGTTGCCAAAAGTTTCAGTGGAGATATATAGTAAGATAGTACCTATAGTAAGATTTTAAGAAGTGTATAGTATATAGTAAGGTTTATAGGTAATGACAGTATGTTATGTGGGAAATTATAACAAGTAATACGAGAAAGATAGAAAATGAGAATATACTAATATGTTAAAGATTTCTGGTGTTCGATATGAATTTTATAAATATTGACATGCCATTCATGTTCCTCTCAAAATCTGTGAACTTCTGACTTTTCATGTAAGCCCCCTCTTATGTCAGGGGCCTTAAACTCACATTACGTGGGGGCACTGGTCAGGTTGTTCTCTCAGGAGGGCTGCTTAAACGGACAGTCCACCCCCCCAAACAAAAATCAATATTTTTTTTCTGTCCTTACTCTTACCTGTAGTGCTGTTTATTCATCTAGTTTGTTTAGGAGCTTTTTCATGTAAGAACTGTTTTCTTTCTAGAGTCTCATGCTCGTGACAGCACAGGATGTAAAACATTAATGGCATCCTCCTCAGCTGTAACGTGAGCTAGCTCACCTAGCGTTCAGCTACGGTTTAAAAAAATTAATTAAATATAAATTAGAAAATAATCCTGAAACTGTCTGTGCTCCAGGTAAACTTTTATTTTCAGTGCTGTTGGTCAAAGCTTCAGCCTTTATGTCGTTATGTTTCACAATTGGGGTCAGCTTGCTAAAGAGTTACTGTAATCTGTGTGTCAGATAGGTAGGTAGATAGATAGGTAGATAGATTTATCGTTGCAGCTCTAGTTAACCCTAATCCTAATCCTCACTCTGGAAACCGGTTTAACCTCCATACAGCTAAGTGAGGAAGGGACCAAATTCATTCTACTATATTTTTGTGGATTTCTCAGTAACTTCCAGGCTAAACATACAGCTTTAGGCAGGTGACTGTCATGTATATAACACAGAGTGAGTGGCCTATAACCTAATACAGAATATTGATTGGAAGTAGTTCATCTGGTGTTACTTTAAGTATTGAAAGTTGTAGATAAACAGGTGGCACTCAGTAGCCAGCTGCCTGTTTAGAAACTCTGTAATGAAATTTCTTATTACATGGAGGTAAACAAACTGAACTGGCACAATAACAAAGAACTGCTGATCCAAACCTCAGTAATACAGCACTTGAGATATTACTTACTACAAGAGCAATCACTTTATTTCTCTAATCGTGATTTGATTTTTATGGCCATTGTTGGAAATAAAAACTCAAGGTTGTAAAGGTGATTTTGGGAGTGGGCTGCCAGGGCCGCAGAGAGACGGGCTGGATAGTGGCTAGATGGAGTCTAGCCACAGGTGGTCTGTAATTCTGCACCGTAATTGCCTGGCAAAGTGTATTATGGGTCTTCAGACCACTCATCCACTCTGTAGGGGTGGACAAGAGAAAAGGGTGAGCGAGGCGGAAAAATAGGATGGATAACATGATGTCCCGTCGTGAGACAATTCTGCCAGACACTTACAATACGTCGAGGGAGTATTATTATTGTGTGCGTTCAAAGAACACTTTCTGTGAAGGCTATTAAGCCAGACTAATGAAAATGATGGTAGCAAATGGGGAGACCATTTTCAATTCAATTGAAATGTCATTGTGTTTTAAAGACAGGTGCAACAGACGTTTTCTAATGTTTGAATGGAGTAGATGTTGTCAGTCTGTAGCTCTGCAGGAAAGGAGCCATCTTTTCACTTCTCTGCCATTTACAGCCTGAGAGTTTCCGGAGTTCAGGGTTAGCAATGGGGCACGGATTAATTTGGTGTTCAGTTCTGGAAGCATCTCACAGTAGTTCCTCAGTTACCACGACTGTTTGATCGTAACTAAAAACCCTCCTGAAAGCTACAAGGATCCAACAAAAAACATTTTTAGCCACCTGACTAGGGATGGTAATCGAGAGCAGGTTCCTTGATAATGGTTCCTAATTGTCTGATCCATCTGAATCATATGCTTCCGAGCTTATCAGTTCCTTTTACCAATGCCTGCTTGTTTTTCTGACCATTGTGCATTTCAAAACAAAGACAATAAACTCAAGCGTAGGGCTGTGTTCAGTGGCAAGAATCTGGTAATACACTACGTTTTGCAATGCAGGAGTTATCGTCCAATATATTGCGATATACTGCAATACTGTAAGCAAGGCAAAATACTGGATTTTTCGTCATATAAAGAACACACCACAACAGCAAGTAGGAACTAACCTTAGGATGGGGCTTTCAGTCTTATCTCTTAGTGTTCATCAGTGGATGGAGTTTGCTCAGTAGAACTCATCATCAAATGTAATTTGACCAACAACTCTTCAAACATCATCTTCCATAAAATATATATTGTCTTGGGCCAATAGTATAGTGTATAATAATAGTGTTTGGGCCAATATGTAGCATATTATGAATAAGCATGTAAAAGAATTAAAAAAATGATTGAACATAGAAGATTAAAAGTGGAGTGTGTGACTGTAACATGAATATCTCTCTTCCTCTACAGATGCGATGGCTAGTCCTTCTCCAGCAAAGAGCATGGGTGACCCTGGAATCACCCCACTTTCTCCTTCACACACTCAGGTGACTCTTACACACATGTTCTCATTTCTGTACCTATTGTTACTCTGTACCTGTTATGTTGTCTTTGCATATCACAAACTACATTACATGTATAAGCTGCTAGCATGTTTCTTCTCCTGTCACTGTTTCTCACAGTGTTTTGTATTACACTGTGGCTTTCAGGCACGCTCATTTTTCAGGGATGGGAGGGTGCTGTACATATGCACAAGCATACATGAATGTGCCTGCCTGCATACAAAAATATACTATCAAGTATTCATACAATATTTGTTTTACAGCACTGTGTTTTTTAGATATAAAACATTTATTTCACGCACCTAAATATATAGGAATATATTTATTTAAAAAAACATTGACTCCAAGAATTATTATTTTAAATGAAGCTTTCTGGGGAACTCTTCTCTTTCAGGGGAGCTGAGCCCCTGGTAGATTTCCATGTTTCCAACCATGCTCATAGTTTTCCTCAATATAATTTTTTTGACAGCATGTTTTTTGTTCAGATACTGGTCCACTCCTACAATATCTGTCTTTGGAGAATCATATTATATTTTATACTGGTGTAAACAAACAGTCTGCTCTTCACCCTTTTCACTGGCCATATTACATAACAGTGTTAGTGCAGCAACAGCAGTGATAGGACACAAAATACAGGAGGAACCAGGGAATCCTCCACCATCCACTCTCTCCAGCTATCCAGCTCTCTATTTAACAAAATCATTTAGAATTTAAAATGATAATTTTAAAGATCCCATGTACAACTAGTCTGCTTGGAACAAGCAATTAATCTAACTAATCTCCTATTTCTACCTCATTAAAAATGTCATTTCTGGTGGCTTCATATTTCTACATCACACTTGTAGAAGTTGCATATTAAACCAGTATTTAACTACCAAACTATTGTAGATAGATAGATAGATAGATAGATAGATGGATAGATGGATAGATAGATACTTTATTTATCACAAATCATGCTGGTTGTCCCCACCCCTTAAAATCAGATATTAATGAGCACAGAGAAACATTCCACTTTCAGTGGTAGTGTCAAACTCTGCACATTCATCATTTTGCAGACTGAAGATCAAACAGCACACTCTAACAAACACTGAGTTTTGACTGGAGGGGACTTTAATAAAAAAGCAGTCCAGGAAATAATCATTGATAATGATAGTCTTTTCAATACCATATGCCTGGCATGCAGAAGTAAGTGGTAGCTATTCAGTGCTGCTGTGTGTGTGTGTTCATGTCTTTTAAGTAGTGATGATAGTTTGTTATTTTGAAATTATTGATGTGATTGATCTCGATCAATTGTTGTTCTTTTGTGATTGCTTTTGAACTGTTGCTGTTATGAACGTGAATCGGTTTGTGACAGCTTAAATTGCTTGTGTGTGTTCTGTCTCTTGTTGAAGATAATGAGTCAGTCTCATCATATGTCACCACATGCCCTAACCTTGTCAAACTGTGTATTCTCTCTGCACAGCAGAACGACACAGACCAGGTACCGTCAGGGCAGTCGTTTGTGGTGGTGGTTGCCATTGACTTTGGCACCACTTCCAGCGGTTATGCTTACGCCTTCACTAAGGAGCCAGAGTGCATTCACACTATGAGGTAGGCCAGCACTGCAATGCAGACACTCACTGACGAGAAGTGTGGGGGTGGCGGGGAGCTACATCAACAATTATTTTGCAGATAGTGGCCCACCTGCTTTGAACACAGTGCATGACTCACATAGACAGAATAAAATGATCCCAGAGTCACTCTAAGGACTTAAAAATACCAAACAAAAATATCTGCAACTCAACTGATTTATTAGAATGGATTTGTCAAATTAATATCTCAGTGAGCTTCTGACTGTGATGATGAGCATTAACATGAGCCTGTCAGTGGCAAAGAGAAGCACTGTTAGTGGATGTACTGCAATGGGCACATTTGTACCCAGGGATTAACGTTAGCTTACATTGCATTGCAGGCCTTCACATATATTTTCACAGCTAACTCGATGAATTAAGGTTTTATTTTGAGCAAACCGTAAAATAAACACTTTGTGATCGTTGGAGACAGTGGAAAGACTTACAAAGAGTTTTATTTGATTTCTGTCCCATTGTTTTGGTCTGAGAAGCTGGTGCTCTAGTGCAACATCCAGAGACAAGTGAATTTTGCATATATGATATATATAATCTTTAAGTCAGATCAAACCACACCCACACAGCAGACCCGAGAGTTTGAGTTTTAAAATGTTTTTTTTTTGTTAAATTGTGGTTTATTTGTTGCTACTGTAGAAACATAGTGGTTCAACATGGCGGACTCTGTAGAAGAGGACCCGCTCCCTCTTTAGATAAAAACAGCTCATTCTAAGGTAACAAAAAAACAGGTTCTTCACTAATGAAAACAGCTATAAATATTATATTCCATTTCTCATAATAGATCCACCTAAATTGCCTTGCTGGACCTTTTATGCTGCAGTAGGTAACATAACTTTTTGTCATATTTGCTTAAACTTTCACTATATCCTGACAGTAGAACATGAGACAGATAATGTATGAAACAATCTGGTTCCTCTGGCTCCTCCTAGTGCTCCTCATGGCATTAGCAAGAATCCACTGGGCCTGAACGAACAGTGTGTTATATTTGTTCATACTGGTTTAGGATTACATTTATTAGCAATAGGTGGTAATCACTTTT